CACTAGGGGAGATGGGGGAGGGGTGGATTAATGAGATTTTACTGAAGGGAGTGTACAAGAAGAGGTGGGGCACGGCTGGAAAATAGAGAGGAAAGAGGGCCACATTAAGCTAATTGGAAGATGAGTGCCTACTTGTAAAAGTGCTTCTAATGGCGTATTTGTTTCTCTCACAGCAGCGCAGAGCTAATGCAGGGGAGTGCAGTTGTAAGACTTATAGTAGTAAAGATTATGGGGGCAAGTGTTTGAGAATGTGTGTCAACATACTTTGGATGCTCAGCCTGGATATTTAGTGCTCTTTATCATTGTGATTCTGATATTAATTTCACAGTTTGTCACTTCTTTTAAATTTTTCTTTGATATTTGAACTTTTGCTGACTCTTTGCTGTGAGAGCGCTGTAATGATTTATACCCAGACTTAGTCTATAGCTCTAGATTTTCCTTTAAAACTCAACTGATTGCTGAACAGTCGTGTTTTGTTAGCCTTCCTTCAGATTGGGTAGAAAAAAGCTTTCCATCCTTATTCTTACTACCATCTTATGACACTTTGAGGACACAAAAGCAGAAATATTTGGTTCAGCATGTAGAAATGGTTGGAAATGTGCATCTTGATGTCACCTTTAGTCTAAATATGTTAGCAATCCTTATCATGTTTGCATTTGGTTTTTGTTACCTCGAAAAGTATTTAATCCCCTTTAACTCCCACCTTTCAAAGCAATTATTACAGTAAATCTCATGTTTCTATCGGCTCAGCACAACTCAACAAAAAGGAACAAAAGCTTAGCAGCCTCTGTCTGGATGGAGAGTATCTGACATAGATTCTAAGCTGGATTTAGCTCTGAGCTTTGACTAGGCCAGGGGTCGGAAACCTTTACAATACAAAGTGTCGTATTACCTTAAGTCCATTTAAATAAAAGCAGTCGAACCTCCTGCCTTTTAATAAAATCCCTTTTTTTGTGTGCAATAGATGCTATAGAAAATCTGTCGCCATTTTAAACGAGCAACATTTTATTTCACTTTTAGAATAAAGAAAAACAGAAACGGGGAAGCATGGAGTTGTTTTATAGAATAAAACTTGTGGACAATGCTGCAAAAAATAAATAAAAAATAGACACATCAAAGGACAGGACAGATTGAAAACAGTTTTTCTGTTATGAAAATTTGATATAGAATTTTTTTTTCAAACTGGTATTTCTTATACTATCATTTTGCCTACTATTGTAAACAATTGTAGAGAGTCAAAATAGTCATTTGAAATAAGTAAGGCTTCTTCCAAATGTGCACGAATATAAATATTATATATAAATACTCATACATGCAGTTTTACTTAGAACGCACACAAGGTAACGACTCTCAAATTGCATTTTGAACATGTTATGCATGCAGATTCAATGCAATCTAGTCTTTAATGTGTAACGGCCAAGAGCTCATAGTCCTTCTCTTGTGTTTTATGGTCCTGTAGATTCTCTCCTGCTAGTGTGTTGACCTGTTTCTGTGCAGTAATGTCAACTGTCTTTCACTTAAAGCCAGAAACCAATCAAAACAAACAAAAAAAACTGTTGACTACTTTTCATGAAATCCCTCCTCTACTGTTTTCTTTCTGGTTGCAGCTATTACTGTTAACAAAGCCTCTTCAAGCAAATCCTGACTTCACATTTAAACAGCATCTCTGTCATCAACTGGGAAATTTATAAACACAATGCTGGACAGAAAAGTAAAAACAGTAGCTGAAAAATGACGCTAAAAGTAAATGTAGCCAATCTCAGACAGTTTATTTTATCTGATTGTTTCCTTCGCAAAAATACAAAATTGCTCAGAGACAGGTCCACACCAAGTAGGAGAGAATCTACGGGAGCATAAAAGGCAAGAGAAGGAGCATTAACTCCTGCTGGTGACATATTCAAGGCTCACAGTGTTGCATATGTACTAACTGAACCTTCAAGTTGCATTTTTAGCAGAATTCTGACTTCATAGACGTGAATCAGAAGTCAGAGCCGGTGCTACAGGTTGCAGGACTAATACTTACTGGACTAAGCTACCCTCACAGAACACAAAAGCTCCAAGTTCAACTTAAATGAAGGCATTCCCACAGCATGATTCCGCCACCATCCTATCAGTCACACTGTGTTTTATATCTAGTTTCAGGTTAAAGGCAGCTCTAATACATTTTTAATGAAAGTTTGAGCTTATTTAAAAATCATGGAGCTTTTTTTCTTCTACTTATCGAAAGTAAACATTTTATTTTATTTTCATGTGTTATGAAATGGTTCTTTTCTTTTTGGTGTAATGTGATAAAATGTGAAGAAGTTTGAGGGATATATTTCCAAGACCTTGTCCCTGTTATTGAGAATTATTCTGTACCATCTTTTACCAGAAACTGAAATGTTTTCAATTCAGAGTCCTTACTAAAGAACCAAGTCTGTTTTTGAGTAAGACGGGTGACTTTATTGTGTTTTAAAAATATAAAAAGGTAATTTTTAATCTCCCTTAAGTAAAAAGAAAGACTGCTGCTCTTAGAATCAGTTAAGAAAAAAAAAAAAAACAGTTTTCAGATGTAGTAAAACTTTTCAAAGATTCACTTTTTAATTAACTTTCATTATTTTGTTTCAATTAAAACAAATGGAAGTGCTAATGCCTGCATGGCCATGCAGTATGAAATAATGGTGTCCAGGCTTGAATTTAAAGTCATACCTCCAGGCTAAAACTCCAGAGCGCTCACAGAATGAAAGTGTAAAATGTTTTTTAATGTATATTTAACAACAAATACCCCAGTGACTATTGATGTTTCGTCTCAGAAGAATCTATTTCTCTGGTATATCTAAAAGGCATGATATGAAACCACTCACTTTTATTTCTTTTTCTGTTTTCTTCCTCTGAGTGTCTCCAATAGTATCTCTCCCTCTCTTTCTCTCCCCCCTTTCCCCCCGCTGTCTCTCTTTAAACATTTATCTTCTGTTTTCTCCTTACAGGCCCTTTGTGCTTTTGTGATGTTAGTTTTTACAGCTTTCTGCGCACCACAGTTGCCATTTATCTTTTATAGATGCCAGCAGCAAGGAGCACATAAGAAATGCTACCATTTCAGCATGACTAATTGTCATCGCTCTGCGTTGCTCCCTTGATGTCACTCGCTCCCGCTCCCCTGAGGGCGTGCAGTGTGTGAACCGCAGTATTTACACTGTACATTTCCATTTTGTTCACATAAATACTCCAGCTCTGAATATTATCCTCAGTTACAGCGTGTTGGTGGGTTTGTGAACTCATCTGCCAGCAGCAATCTGAAACTGGTGAAGATATAGGGCCCCTGAAGAGGATAAAAGTATATCAATATATAATCTTCACCTAAACTAAGGTCCTTTCTCGTAGAATCCCTTTATCATCTCTTTATGCTTGATGATGAACACATATTTGCAAGGACTCTATTTTTCTTTCTTTAAAGCTATTTATTGCATATCTCTATAGTTGCCAGCTAACATTCCTGTTTTAGAATTGTTGCCAAAGTTTCATTCATTAAACACATGAATGTAGAAGCTCCTGATTTCGGGGCTTAGGTTATCTTGTTGCACCAGCTTTTACTAGGGTATTATTTATTGTAGTGGAATATTTAAGAATTCATGGAACTGAACTGTCCTAAAAATTTTGAAATTTAACTTAAGAAGATGTTTTTATCTTAAAGCTTTTTACTACATTCTGGCTCTATCTTTTTAGGTCTGGATCCCACTTTCTGCCAGCTTTCTTTTATTAAAAAATCATTTTTGAGATCACTGATCAAACCAAATAACTAATGTTTTAACCATTAGAAACTATTTAAATGGTAAGCGACATGTGCTTTTATAGCGCTTTTTTAAGTCAGGGAACTTTAAAGTACCCTACTCTACATTCAGGGAGTTCTTCCTCTCCACTGTCGCTACGAGCATGCTTAGTTTGAGGGATTGCATTCGAGTCAATGAATCGATGCATTCAATATTTTTCCTTAGTAAGGAAACTTTGAATCAATTCGACTTAGTGAATTGGCGCTATATAGATAAACCGAACTGAATTGAATTGAAATTCAGTCATTCACACCCAATGAATGTAGCCACAGCTCCCATAAGGACAAAAGCAAGGCTGTCATACACCATTGCAGGCTATGCAATTTAATAATTTGTAGAAGTTTATAAGCAGATCACAAAAAGTAACTCTTAAGGGTCAGCTGTTAAAGATGGCGTAAAGTGTGCAAATTTGAATGTGGTGCAAAATATCACACAGACAACTATATTTTGTAAGAAAAAAATAAGATTGGCTTCAAAATTTCCCAAATCATAGAAATACAAAACTCTGAAGGGCAGAAAAAGGACAAATGCCATTCAATAATTATTAAAGCCTCTACTTTAGCACGTGCAACAACGATAGCTTCCATGCAGTTATTATTAAACAACAATTTAGCCAAAATGGGAGCGTTTATGGTGGACATGGTTGTATAAATGTGCTAAACCCTAAAATGCATAAAGGGTGTTATCTTTCACCAAGTCTTGATAAGCACCTATCTTAAAAACATAAAAGCAGCTAAACTTGGTCATCATAAAATATCATCTTTACAATGACAATAAATTAAATTCTTTCAAATCCCGTAGTTATTTGACAAGTCATTACTTAAGAAAATTCCTTGTTCTGTAATTATTTTATTCTAGTTATTAACTCACGTAATTTTGTCATCTATACAGTTTTACATAGAGAGCGCTTTAGATGAATTCCTGATATTTCAAAAGAGGGGTAAACACAGTATAGTTTTGATGTAATTTGCAATCTGCAGGCTAATCAACACTAGAATGATAGCGATTGTTGAGCAGCAGGTTTTTGAAAAAGGTTATCAAGGGTTGCTCCAGGGGACATCTGAGTATTGTGAAGGGGGAAAAAAACAAACACTTTAACACTGCTCTTTCTTTTCTTTCTACCAGACTGATTATTCACAATCAATAACAGTCTGTATCTTCTCTTTTGTCTCTCGTCTCTTCTGGGACATTTAGGATGCTGCAGGCAAGGTTTTGGACCGCTGGACCATCATGTCCCGTGAAGAAGAGATCATCACCCTGCAGCAGTTTCTGCGCTTTGGTGAGACCAAGTCCATCGTAGAGCTGATGGCTATTCAGGAGAAAGAAGGTCAGGCAGTTACAGTTCCCTCGTCAAAGACAGACTCTGGGATAAGGACATTCATTGAAAGTAATAACAGAACCCGCAGCCCAGGGCTCTTAACACATCTGGAAAACAGCAGCCCCTCCAGCATTCATCATTTTGAGAATATCCCCAACAGCTTAGCCTTCCTTCTACCATTCCAGTATATCAACCCAGTTTCTGCCCCCATGCTTGGCTTGCCCCCTAATGGCCTCCCAATGGAGCAGTCTGCCCTTCGGCTTCGGGAGCCCAGCCTTCCAAACCAGGGAGATCATGTGGAGACTAGTGAATCAGAGGTGTCACTGTCACCTTTCCGCACCGGTCAGAGTCCTAGTCGTGGAGTACTGGGAGCCATTAACAACACTGAACCCAAGACAGAACCCAACAGCTGTGCATCACCCATCTCCCCGACACCATCCACCCAGCAAGCTCAGCAGCAAACATCGCTCCAGCAGCCACAGCAACCGCAGCAAGGCCAACAACAGTCCCAAAATCAGTCCCAACAACCCAACAGTTTGAGCGAACATCAGGTGCATCACCACTTTGTTAAGGATGAGCCCTCTAAAACCATCAGCCACCCTTCTTTCTCCTCGAAGATGCATCGTATACGCCGCATGGGAGCTACCTCACGCAAAGGCCGCGTGTGTTGCAATGCATGTGGAAAGACCTTTTATGATAAAGGCACGCTTAAGATACACTATAATGCTGTACACTTGAAGATTAAGCACCGTTGCACCATAGAGGGATGCAATATGGTCTTTAGCTCACTGCGCAGTCGGAACCGCCACAGTGCCAATCCCAATCCAAGGTTGCACATGCCTATGCTGCGCAATAACCGTGACAAGGACCTTATTCGTGCCAATTCTACCACAGGTACACCTGTCATCTCAAGCAGCAAGAATGGTGGCTTTACACTCACCAGCCCTGGAAGGCCACCACTTGGCTTCACTACTCCCCCAGTAGACCCTATGCTTCAGTCTCCGCTGCAGAGTCCCCTAGTGTTTCCGTCACTGAAGTCAGTGCAGCCAGTCCAACCAGTGCCACCATTCTACCGAACACTTGTGTCTCCAGCAGACCTCGTCAGCCCTCCAGTGTCACTGCCAACGAGCCCCATAATGCCCACCACTACTAACAGCACTACCCTAATGGACCAGCAACAGCAGATCTTGGCCGCTGTTGTCTCACATAATAATGTTCATATGTCAGAAGCAAGTTCGATGTCCCATCGGCTTCACTCTGGGACCAGTCAGGACCTCACTACAAACAGTGACCCCACACCTAAAAAGAAACCTCGTAAATCTAGCATGCCAGTTAAGATTGAGAAGGAAGTGATTGATGTTGCAGATGATTTTGAGGACAAAGATGAAGATGATGATGACAGCATCCACCACAATCACCAGTCGAGTCTTCTTCACAACAACATCAAGATCAACGGCAACTGCAACAACAATGGTGCAAGTGGCCCTGGACACCACAGCGGTGGCAGTGGCCAGCAATCCCCCTCCCAGGATGAGATGAGCCCTGGCTTAGCCCTTAGAGGTATGATGAGGCAAAGTGAGGATGAATGTAGGGAGGGAACTGGTAGTGACAGCAGAGGGGGTGCTTCAGAGCTGCGTTGTATGGACAGCTTTACCTCGGAAGACCAGGATCATGAAAGAGACTTTGAGAATGAGTCTGAAACATCAGATTCCAAGATGTTCTACCGAGATGATCTGATGGACGGGGAAGAACATCAGAAGCACACTAGGGGAGGAAGGGGTCTGGACAAGGAGCATGAAAACGAGGCACACGAGGAAGAACACTTGAGGAAAGACATAGAGGGAAACGGTCATTCTTCACCATCACCTCACCAGCCTCCAATCAAGATTAAAGAAGAACTCAATGATCCGACATATGACATGTTTTGCATGAGCCAGTATGGCCTCTATAACGGGGGCATGGCAGCAGCAGCTGCTGCCGCCGCAAGCATGGCTGCTCTACACGAGAGCTTCATTTCTTCAATGGGATACGGTGCCAGCCCACCCAAATTCCCTACATCTCAGTCGCCTGAAGGAGACCCATGTTCCAGTCCAGACCCCAAGATCTGCTATGTATGTAAGAAGAGCTTCAAGAGCTCCTATAGCATGAAACTGCACTACAAGAATGTGCACCTGAAAGAGATGCATGTGTGTACTGTGGCAGGCTGCAACGCTGCTTTCCCATCCCGACGGAGCAGAGACAGGTGAGTGCTACAGGTTTGCAAGTAACCATCTAATTTTAATGTATCTGATTTGTTTGATTTTACGATTTAATCAGTTTCTATTACCATGCATTTATATGCGGTATGTATGAGGTTCTATATATTTCATTATGAGCCTTATTTGAGTTAAAAAAACTAAAAAGATTTAAGTAATGACATCTTTTAAAATGTTTTACGGTTGTCTGGGGAAACAGTTTTCCAGGCTTTCTAGAGGCAATCGGAGGTGTTTTATTTGCATTCCGAACTCAAAAATTTTCCATAAAGTCCTGGTATTATATTATACTTAAGGTTAGATTTGCTCTTCATTAAGGCCAAACTCTATCTGATGAATAATTCAAATTAAGGTTCCTAAACTCAAAGGCTAGTGTTGCTCCGTCACATAATAAACAAATTAAAGAGCAAAGACAAGTCATGTTTTCATGTGTTCAGCCTCATAATGTGCCAAAGTTAACAGGTTTAAGGCATCAAATAATATTTCTACTTCTGCAACACTATTTCTAGTCAACCATTTGCCAAACATTTTGGGATTATGGGGCTGCACATGTACACCGTGTTCTCATTAAATTGTAAAAAAAAAAAAAAAAAAAACTAAATGGTTAGGCGGTAAAAGAGTGCAGACACAAAATCTCCTTTTGTACCTTGAATTATTTTCCTTTATATTTAATCTTTAATGATATATGAAGTGCCCTAAACAAATATTGAAAGCCCTGGTATTAGGTAGTACTCTTATCTCCCTACTTCGTCCTTAGATAAACTTGGATCATCTGTGTCAGAATTAGTTGTAAATTTTTTACATTTTTAAAAAATTGGACTAGTAACCATTTTCTGAGTTTCTCTTTTTATCTGATTTATGTAGATCAACGCATTTGCACATTCTGCTGTCTTTCCCATTCAGATGGCATGTAAGAAATAGTCTTTATCATATCATCATAAATTAATAAAGCAATAATAACCAATCCCTCCCTAGTCACAGTTGAGAACCCAAGTAAGTAATATTTGAGCAAAGCTTGGTGTATAAATGATAAGAAGTGCATGTTTTCCAATACTTTATAGATAATAGAGGTAATAAAAGTTGTTACACCAATAATTTTCTCCAAATTAAATATTTTTTACCATGTGATCTCCATTAGGTTTAAATAATGATGTGCTTTTAAGGAGTTGTCGTCATCTTTAACAGAGTGCTTATGATTGTGAAGGGCACTGTAGGCTATTGATAAACAGAAAAAAAGTAACTTTGACTCTAAAAAGGCTTCAGATTAAGAAATAAATATGAACAAAAAAACAGTTTAAAAATCCATCCTAGTCAAATTAAAACTTTGAATGTCTTCTATTGAACTATTAATTACGGTAGGAATTATAAAACATTAGATCAAAGTGGGGCTCCATAGATGAAACGTATATAAAAAAATATAAGAGTGACTCTGGACTTTTGCGCGGTGACTCTTTATCTTAAGGAACAGAATTTAACTTTCAGTTTCCTGTTAACTTTTTCTAGATAAGTTAACAGTTACCATCTGTTAGCTAATAAGAAATTAAAAAGGTACTCAGGGACATCTGCTCTGTGTCAAGTAGATGTTCAGAAGACCAGAGTGCGATGTAGAGAAACACACACACACACTCATTTAAAAATACACTCCAAGCCCGCAGCAGCAGCGTGTTGTTTACCTGCCCTCACTGCCTCACCTTTGAACGGTGAAATCAAGGCGCATACATTAACATTGACAGCGGTTTGTCAAACCGCTGCATTTATTAGCGCATTAAGAGGTGATGTGAGCCGTACTCACCTGGGCTTGTTAGCACGTACCCCAATCTGCACAGCATATATGTTTGCCGGAGCAACACCAATGTCACAACACATGCTAGGGCCCACGCTTAGAGCATGACATGTTAAAAACCAGCGTCTTTAACTTATCTGATCTGCAATATATTTTTTACTTGTTTTTTTTTTTTTGACAGGTGAAAAATTATTTTTCTCTCAGTGGCAATTACACCCTTCCTCCACTTCTTCCTCACCTGTTCACCTCCTCAAACTTTTCGACTTTGTTTGTTTTTGTGGCATCTGTTTCTAAAACTGGCTGCTTTTAATCGCACTATCAGAGCTGTTGGTTGTGGATGAGATGAGAGCAGACGGAGAAGTGAACGCAGCTCTCCATGGCATGCACTGCCTCACTGTGGTGCATTGCCACCAGTAACACCATTAGCTCCCCTCTTTCCAGCAGGCTTTACAAACAGACAGCTTGTACAAACATGTTCACTATTAATCAATATAAATATATATTCTATTTGCCTCTGAATGTTTTATTTGCAATATAATTAGAGAATAACCTTTTCTTTTATAGCTGTTAGTTGTATTTTTTTTTTATTCCTTCACGTTTCAACTTCATACCATTAAAAAAAAAAGACAATTTAAGATGTTGAAACAATAATAAGAATAATGGGTAAAAAGTAATGTCTGCAAGGTGCAGAAACTGCCGTTTTTGATCAGGGAGCCACTAAATGATTACAGCACTGAGTCAGTGTGAATGTGCATGGACAGTTTATCTCAGTTTATTAAAAAACATTTGCTAGAAAGAGAGAATATTATGCTGATAATGATCCGTGGTCTTGAGTTTTGCAGCGCAGGTTCAAACAGGAAACAAAACAAAAAAAAGCAGAAGAGCCAAGCTGGAGAAATCCAGAGGCTTTGAGACGAGTCAATACACGAGCTGCGCTCTCATCAGATCTGTCCCCGGATAATCCTTTAATGCCATAATGTGTATCTGAGTGTAATGGAAGCAATAAAATGGGAATATAATTTAGCTGTTTTCATCAGAGCATCATCTCTGATAAGACTAAGTAGCGTTGTTCATATTTATTTGCAGAAACTACTGTTAAAGTGTTGACTCTTTGTAAAATTTACAAATTCAAGCCATTTTTTTCCTTCTAATCAGATGTTTTTTGGATGACGTTTTATCTAGTAATTGCATATTTAGCATAACCAAAAATCCTTGAATAAGGAAATTATCTTTTGCAGCATTATTTAGCTTGAAACATGAGATTTCATGCTTGCATATATTACTAGCAAAGTTGTTTGCAAATCTGAGTCGTTCCAAAGACCGAGGGAAAACAGGAAGGCACAAAAACACAGGATCAAAATGACATAGTAGGTTAGCAGACAATGAATAAATTACTCCATATTGGAACCACGTATCGCTCCGTTTGGATGTCTGCTCTGTTGATAAATAAACAGCAGATTTCACACTGTAAAACATCTGTGCACACTGTAATACACTCGCCCAGAAAAGGATCGTTTAATGTGCCCTTGAGCAAGCTTGTAATGTGAGGGTTTTAAATGTGAAACAGAGCAAATGAAATAAAAGGTTTTACTTTATATGCTGTCTTTCCCATACCTCCTGGTGTGAAAATACATGGCTGCGTATTTATTTAGGGGTCAAAAGTAGTGAGGAAGAGGCTGTGCTGTAAACTTTGGCTTGATTTCCTTCTTTAGAGACATTAATATCTCAGATCTCTTTTTACCCTTCACCTAGAAGAAGTTAAACCTGTCTGTGGCTCTGCAGTGAGCAGGTGTCCTCCCTCTGCCACGTTCCCACGACGCAGCCGTGCGCAGCCCGCGGTCCCTGCATGGGCCACTGCAAATGGAGAGAGTGAAGGTTAATTATGTTGGAAAGTCTCTTTCCCTCCCCTTCTCCTTCCTCTTTCCATCGTTTCCCTCGGTCCCCTCATGGCATGTGGGCCTGGCTCTTCTGCTGCACAGTCAGCTCTGAGTTTGTGCCTTCTAAACAAAGAGCACGCTCCAAATAGAGAGAATATGTTAGCAAAAGCCACTCAAAACATCTTGTTAACTAAAAGACAAGAACTCAAACTCTCACATCTCTTCATCTTTACTGGCTTAACTGATTAATCTGAAAGAGAATAAGGAATACATCCTTATTCTTAGATGAATAAACATATGGAAACCCATTCTTTTTTGCATTTTTAATGCTCCATTTAATATGAAGTTTATGCTGTTTGCAAAGTTTAAACAATGGCGAGCAGATGTAGCAGCAGCAGCAGAGTGATAAATGTGGGTAAAATCCATGTCCTCCCACTCACCTAAAAGCTCATAACCCACTCCGAACGACAGGGAAGACAAAGGACCGCTGGTGTCAGTTCGATACCTCACAGTGCTCCATCTCATTTACACATTACGAGCCATTTAGACAATATAAGCACATTTAGGTATGTATCCGTGCACATTCACACTGACACAGAAACAAGGGCAAGGGCCATCAGATGAACCTAAAGATGATTAACGGCGACTGGGACAGGCTCGCTCTGGCTCTGCCTCCTCTGCACAGTCGAAACGGGCTCTCCGGAGGCCTCCCCCGTCTTTTGGGCGAAGATGAGACTGTCAAATTGGTTTGCCAGCCACATTACTGGCCAGCAGGGAGGTACTGGAGAGAGGCGGGGGGGTCGAAGATGAAGCATAGTGAAGAGGAGTGATGGAGGTGGAGGAACGGAGGGGAGTGGGAAATGGGGCAGAGAATCTAAATCTGATAAATGAACAGAAGAGGCCATAATGTCCTCAGCGTGTGGACTCTGTTTAGTTATTCTGATTGGTGAAGACACACACGTTCAATAATGTTCATTAAAATGACAACAAGCTGGGGGTTTTTTTTGTTTTTTTGGGTCTCTTTCTTAATTTTGTGAAGCTATTTCATTATTAATCATCTTCAAATTTAACGATACAGTAAATCTTGTTTGATTTTTATCTATGTGAAGAAAATTAAACCAGGCTTTTCCCCCCTTTTTATCTGAATAATGTGTTTTCCTAACAATAAGGTTTGCATTTTGATTATTTGAAAAGGATTTTAGCTAATCTGCAGACTTTTTACTCCTTAAAATGTAGCGTTTTTGACTTAAGCAGATAGTCATGATTAATTTAGAGCTTATTAGCAGTGAAAGGTGTTGTTTCGTTTTAGACATGGAGATGTGTTGCAAAGGACCTGCCTACCTGAGCATCATTACCAGCAATTTCGACAAAACACACACTACTCGATCCCCTTATGTGCTTTAGCAGAATCGGATCATTCTTACATTCAGGTTGTTATTTTTTCAGTGCTTGAACCCACCTAGAAACCCTCAGAGCAGCACATATTTGACCCGAATTCAGCCAGAAAATAATGACTCCATCGCTGCATGCATAAGTTTTCACCACACTTTTCTTAGCTCATATTGACAGATGAAGAACAACACACCAAAAAGGAAAATATTGTCAGTTTTCTACTGAAACAATTAGACACACGGTGCAAACGCAAACATGCAGCGACAGCCACGGCCGATCGATTCGCCACGTTACCCCCCCTTCCCACAATGCTGACGATGCTCGAGTGGACGGGCTCCTGGTTGCTTGCCTCACAGAAAAGGGTCCCTGAAATGAATGTATTTTTACCTCTTGCAGGACAATGTCGGATAGGGAAGTAAATAATTAAAGGAAAGGGACCCTTTTTGACTGCATCAACCCTGCCACTGCTGGTAAGCTCTACAATCCATTGTGACTCCATTTTTGCCCATCCTGCCGAGGATGATCTTATTCTTTTCCTTTTTTTTTTGTTGTGTTTTACACATATGTGCCCTCCCTGCATGGAAACCCTTCACATTAAAAGGCGCCGAGTGTTTTTGCACATTCTGCTGAGAGGAACAGGCCCTCTGCACATTGACTGCTTAAGTTTCCTTTCTGTGTTATGCGGTTTTTATTGTGACATGTGTAACGTAGCCCCCCCGCCCCACCTTTTTTTTGAAGTGCTCTTTGGCAGCTGTGAAATTTGAGTTAGAAAAATAAAAAAAAGCTTATACCCTTCACTGTTTAGCATGGCTTTGTCTGCTATAGCTCAGACGTCACTAATTGTGTCCTGCCTTCAGCATGGTTTGTTGCTGTGTTTCTTTTTCAGCTGGAGAACATTATGTGATACAGTTGGAGCTTGTGTTTAGGAAAAAAAATGGCCATTTTAATTAATTCCAGTCTAGCAATGAAGACGCGTTCGTCGAGGTGCTCAATTAGGCCACCTCTAAATAGCGAGCCGATGTGATAATGCTGTCAGGGCCTTGTGCTAATATGCTATCCAGTTCCCCTCGATTATCACATTACCACTGCTTAAATCAATTGATAAACTCCCATTCAATACAGTGGACTATTTAATTGAGTCAGAGTCTATTGGATTTGAGGGCTGTGCAGAGCAGACATGCTGACGGTGGTAAACATTAGCAGGATGCTCTGCCTTCTTCATACTGAGCTCTCTGATCCTGAACCTGAAATAATTGAAACAATAATTATAGTATTACTGGAATAAATGACTTAACATAATATGAATCCATGTGCAATACTGTTAAAAAATGTTGAGTCATCAATCAATTTGTTTAATAAATTTCTCTTCTAGTAGTCAAACTTTTTTAACTTGTTGTCTATGTGAAACGGTTTCCTTAAAAATGTAGCGCCGACAGAAACTATTCACTTCTCGCTTTTCCGCACGCAGTTACATTACAGACTTATTCTGAAGCAAGATGAGAGTTTTATTTAAAGAAAAGTAAGAATCCACACATAAATATTCCAACACAGCAAAGTAAAAAGCTGTTTTTTGTACATTTTCTTGTAGAAATTTATTGATTTACATATTTTACATTAGAATTCATACCCATGACTCAATATTTTGTCAAAGCACCTTCAGCAGCAATCATAGCCTCGGGTCGTCTGTGTGAGCCTGGTACGCTTGTTTATGGGTTTTATTTGCCACCTTCTGATCCTCTCAACCAGTCATCCATTGGGAGACAGATGGGTGACTGATTTTTTAGATCTTTCTAGAGCTTTAAACAGAGCTGGGGAGTTTAGGGACCGCTCCAAGATCCCCTTCTTTGATAAGACTGGCTGTTTACTTGCAATCTATTCAGACCAGTAGCCATTCAGGGGGGGGGAATACTTCCAGTTATTCAAGCAGCAAGTAAATCTTTAAAAGACTGCAAAAATGCGTGGAAGTAACATAGAGAATAGGGGTGAATCAACATGTGTGCATAGAACCAGGTTTAAAAATGTTACATTTTTAATGATATGTGTGATAATTTGACGCACACAGACTCCTGATGTACAACTGTGACTGTCTCTTCCCATCAGGCACAGCTCGAACATCAACCTGCACCGCAAACTGCTGACCAAAGAGCTGGACGACATTGTCCTCGACCCTCAACTCACGCCACTGCCCAAGGACCTGCGAGCAGAGTTTCTGGCCAAGCTCTACAGCGGACATCACATGGGTTTGGACCCGATGGCCAGGATGGGTTTCCGGGGCGCCGGCCTCGGGCTCCCAGGTCTGAACCATAATTCCCTCTCCCACATGAGCAACGAATATCCCCGTCATCCTTTTCACCACGACCTTAGAAACCATCACTCCAACGGCCTGTTCCGGGGCCAGCCGGACGACTACATGGTGCTGGACCTGAGCACCACCTCCAGTGTTCAGTCCAGCAGCAGCATCCACTCCTCACGTGAGTCAGAAGACGGCAGCGACGAAGGCATCCTGTTGGATGACCTCGAAGAGGAGGGAGAAGAGGATGAGGAGGATGGCAACAGTGAGGGAGAGGACCTCTCCCGGCGTGGGGAGAGGCGAGCTGAAGGGGGACATCGGGATGAGACTGGAGAATTCAAAGAAGGACCAGATGAGGGCTTGGACTCTACCTCATCGACATTCCTTCTATCGTCCACTGGGGGCAGTAATGGCAGCAGCGGTGGGATCCTCTGTAACATCTGCCACAAAGTATACAGCAACAAAGGGACCCTGCGCGTGCACTATAAGACTGTGCACCTGCGCGAGATGCACAAGTGCAAAATCCCCGGCTGCAACATGGTGTTCAGCTCCGTGCGAAGCCGGAACCGACACTCTCAGAACCCAAACCTCCATAAAAACATGCCCTTCTCTACGATATTAGACTAAACCAAGACTTCTCAGCCCTCCCGTCTCCTCCGTTCCCTCATCCTTGTCTCCTGCCCCGTCCTATGTAAGTCACTCCATGTAAAAAACAAAAAAAAACAATTGACTCTAGATGAAGTTTATCATTGTGTCTTTTGACTTTTCCTTCTTTGGAAGAAAAGGCTGATGCCAACAGGCACGAAGTTTGCTTCAAAATGAAAACTCTAGGTAATTTTACTCATTAGGCCCTCCACCTTTTTTTTTCTATCTTCAACTCTCTTTGTGTTTACGTCCATGTCCAAAGAATCTGTTAAAACTCTTTATTTGTGACTTTTGCCTGCGGAAACAATAGTACTAAAAAAAAAGAGAAAAACTTCTTGTTGTATTTGTGTAACAATAACTTTTAAATGGACCCCTTACAAAAGCATGACAGCTCCATTTGTAAATAATGTCCCCAGAGGCTTTTTTTTTTGTTTTTTTTGTTGTGTTGATGGTTGTTTGCCTACTTTTCCTCTCTTTATTGGATTTATGTTACAGTACAGTACAATACTTCCATCTATAGGCAAGAAAGAGGTAGCATCCTTCAAGTGTGACTCATTTATGTTCATTTTTAACTGATTCACGGGGAAAAAAGAAAAAAACAAGATCATGTGAATTGTATCAACTGCTTGTTAGATGTTCGGAGGTTACCGGCATGCTTTTTATTTTAAGCTCTTACACTGATTTCATTCTCCGTATTTTATGTTTTTTCTTCTTTTTTTTTTGCTTTACTAATCCGTTTCAGTTTTTGCACTTTGCATCTATAAAAGGGGGATGTGTAATATTGTTATAAGGATATCTGCAATGTTGGATTTGGGTGATCGGGGAGGGTGAGCGGTGGCTTCATTGCTGAGAGAAGCAAACTTTTTCTTTTTGCATGTGCTCAGTTTCAAAGCCTCTAATTGAAAACCAGAAATATTTCTTTATTCCTCCATCACGTATTCTAAGAAAATCCAGATCTTAACTAAATTGTTTGTCCTTTTAACTAAAACGGAGTTAACTGGAAGGGGTTGGTATCTTGTTTGAGAACTAATTGATGTTTGTCTTAGTGAAGGCATCTTTAAAAATATGAGCACTTCACGGGTTTAATAGAGAGAAGAATCCCTCCTCAACTGTGACCAAAATGCATGAGTTTCCTTAAAAAAAAACCCATCAGCATTGTCTCTGAATCTTGAACCAATATAACCAATATGATGCACTTGAGTCTTAAAACATCAACTGTGATTTTCTGCTGCAGGTTTTCACTGCTGAGCCCCACCCTCACATATATTCTGCCAAATTTCTTGCAATTTTCCCTCTTTTGGTTGCAAAGAATCACTCACGGTACATATGTTTTTATTGATTAGAGAAGTAGCCGAGGGAAAGGGTATTTATTAGTGGGTGATGTATCTTCACAAAAATGTTCTCGTCCAGTAAAAGGATTTTTTTTAAATAAAAAGACAAAAAAGACTCATATGTCTTTTTACTCTACAAGATCCATTCTTAGTGGACTGGTGCTACACACAGCAGTGGGAAATACGCAGCCTTATGCAGTACAGTATTAACACCTTACATCCATAACAGTGTTGAATTCCACTTTTCTACACTTTAGCCATCCTGCTGCACAGACATAACCGCTTCCAGTGAAATATCTCCTGTTTTTTGAAGACTCCACCTACAGGACACATGTGGTCTTTCTGAGCCCTCTTTTCTCTGAGATAAAGAGGAGCTGAGGATGATGGAAAGGCTGCGGAGGTGGAAGGCTGACTAGGGAGGAAAGGATGACAGCAGCGATCATTAAAAATGTGCTGCTTCCCTGTTACCTGGAGGCATCCCGCCATTCCGGCTTCCTCTGTCTAATAACTCACTTGTCACTTTGTTACACTGCCAGACGTCAAGGTTGCTGACAAGACTGTGACACTGACAGAAGGAGAAAAGCCAGGGAAGAGAGTGCCCGCCAAACAATTTAATTCCGCGCCGTCAATTAAGTGGAATTCAGTTCATCTCTTCATTTTCTGTACGCTTACTCTCCTTTAGGGTCTGTATTAATTTATTTCAGTTCTTTTCCCTTCCCCTTTGTCCGTCAGAGCAGTCATTTAACTACCTTTGTACCCATTTCTTCATCCTGCTACTCACTTACCACCTCCACATGCTGCAATGCAAATCCTACAGGGACACACGCTAATAGTGTATGCTTAAGTTCACCGGACGGCCATGGCATAGCAAAAAGGGATGGGTAATTGCCTGTTTATCCCAAGTGAAGGGAAAATTGAGTACAGGAACCTCTGCCTTCTCCCAGGAGTGAGCTTCAGTGAGGCTAGCTGCCTCGTTCACTCATCGGATCCCTTCGGCCTTCGCTCCAGCTGAAATAGAAAAAGTGCCTCTGCAGGAACCCTGCTGACAGCTGTCTCTTCAGCACAGAAACACTTGGATAGGCAGACGTGCAGAAGAATGACCGTCCCTAGACAATATGCTAAACTGTAGTTGGAGGAAAGACAAATGTTCTCGTCATTGTTTTCAGTAATAATGTCACATTGAAAAGCTGAGTTTCCATCACAGAAAAGCAGCAAAGCCAGAAATAAATCAGTCATAAAAACAGGATAGGAAATGTTTTACCTTTAAACCTTTATAAAGTGTTTCACGCTCACATTTTTCTTCTAAAGAGAAAAATCAATATTTTCCGAGGATTTTTGAAGTGAGGTTTTACAGTCCCCTGCTAAGCCAACTTTAAAACGCCAAAAAAGAGTTTAAAGGGATACAGTTCATGTTAAACCAAATGTAGTAGTTTAGATTTCTAACTCAAAATCATCGGATCAGCTCCAAGCATTTGCAGAAAAACTCCTTTGATTAGTAAAACACTGATGCTAATGTTAGCATCATTAGCAGCTAACGGTTAGAGAGTCGTAGTATTTCCCAGCCTTCAAATTCTTCGACCGGAGTCTCTGCTCACTTTATTTGATTCAGATATCCAAAAAGCAGCTTTACAGTTTAGAGGTAACCATGTGCTGATCAGGAGGGAGCTGCCGCCATTAATAGCTACATCAGGATAAAGCCGTTAGTGCACTGTACAATTTTTTGCCCTTTTTGGGCCAACTATCCAGTCGTGCGAGAATTTTTCAATCGGGCCGACTTTAACCCTGATCTTGCCACATGTAGAGTACAGGGGGTAACGAGAGGCAATCAGCCTCCCAATGACCTCCCGATCAGGAATCGTAAGGTGTTTGAAATTCAGTTGGCCGTCGTAAGGTGGTCGTGGACAAATCACTCAGTGCGCAAACGAGGATTCTTCCTCTTACTCGTAGATGAAAACACAGAAGCATGGCGGGATGCAAGTGAAATGGAGTTCTTTCTATAAAATTGACCAACCGTAGTAGTTACATTTGCTCAGCCATGTATTTTTTCCAAATGCGTCGCCGCCTTTTCTTTTTAGGGCTTTCAGCACAAAATTGCACAAATTGCCAAAAGCAGCACATTTCAATCTAGTGAGCTTCATATTACTCTTCTACGCGATTGGCTTCCGCATAGACGAGTCCAAGTAGCGCCATCTCACTCGTCATGGCTGAATACGACGTAGTTTTTAGACATGCAGTGTGAGCAGGTAGATCGCATCAGAGCATCGCACAGTGTGAGATCAAACATCCTGAGCTGTGAACTTCTAAACCCTGCAGTTTTGTCGTACAGTTTGAGCTGTAGCTGTGCGCAATTTTTTCAATCGTACAGTGTATGCCTGGCTTTAGATTCTTATACTTGCAGAAATCACGTCGGCCTAAATAGACACTTTAAAATGTAAGGCTAGTAATAGAATCACCTGTTTAGTCACAAATGTTCAGTTTCGATTATTATTTCGTATTGTGATATCTAGTTATCTCTCTTAACCTCGTATTGTTTAAATCTAAATTGGCTTGGATCATCTAAAAGCTAACACAACACACTTTGTCAAAGTGTCCATAAACATTCTCCAACCTTCTTTAAACACCGTTTAATGGAGGGCTGATGCGTTGTTGTGTGCAGCATGTTATTTCTGGACGTGATGCTTTTAATGAAACCGTCCAAAAAACCAAGTCTGGTTTCTTGCCTTTTCTCATTGCACATTAGCATCACTCATTACTCTTTAAGGGTTTCCCAATACTGTACCAATATTTCAAACTCAATATTAATAACCAGGAAATTATTCGATACTCTATACTATTTTTTGATTCCATGAGGATAAAGAAAGAAATTATTTAAGGTATTGAAAAATTCATTTTAATAACATGGAAAAAAAACCTTTTTAAATCTCCACATATAGAATGCTTTCTTAAGAGAATCATAGATGTTGGTTAAATAAGTGTACAAATAAATGCAAAGTTAATTCCCCAAAATATGACTAAACTCAAAGGTTTGTTGAGGCATTATTCTTTTAATATGCAAATAAACCCTGAATCTTAAATTGACGATAGCAAAAATTACTTGTCTTTAATATCGATACTTTTCCGAATTAGGATTGTATTGAGATACGGCATGTGGTTATAAAACTTGATATTTTTGAAAATAGTGATGTTCATTTATTAAAAATAAAAAGCTGCTTTACTGAAGACTGTTCCAAAGCAGACTTTTTCTCATTTAGTGTCTGACAACTCATATAATCAAATCCAGCAACAGGAGGGACCTTAAATAATTTTAAAAGGATTCTGAACTTCTTTTTTTGTAAAATATACTGTCCAGAAGTAGCTCTTTTTTGCCACTTTGAGTATCAAAACCATATTCTCTCTTCATTTTGAACTAAAACGCTTCACAGGTTTCATTCTTTGGAAGCATTTATCCCTAAAGGATTGCATTTTTTTTCTATTGATACATGTGAAGACAGTTAAAAAGCTTAAAAAAATGACATCCTCACAATCTGCTGTGACATTTTTTTGGAGCAGACCTCACTCTGATTAGCTGCTACCATCAGCCTCCAGGACAAACTAATCAGGGCTTTTACGAAATGCGGCCGCTAAGAGATTTTTTCATTTTTTTTTCTGATTTAAAATGCTTTAAGATTTTGACAGACCCTCGGCTCTAATAATCCTCCGAGATTAAACTGTGATCAACCAATGATCTCATCTGCAGTGTCACATGTGCTCATGTTCTGTTTGACATTGTCTTTTTCTGATGGAAACTCACCTTTATGAGTGTTAAGCTGAAAACAGAATGTTGCAGGAGAAGTTCTTCACAATATACAATGCAATTTTTGGTGTTTGAGATCAAAACCAGCAATTTAAACATATCTAAAAGCAAAAGAACAGTTTTGAGGCATTTAAGAAGCGGAGAGAAAAACCTGCAGAAAGAGTCTTGGAGCTGTCATCTCATTCAGGGGAAACAGAGCGGTACACAGGCTGTGGTAGGAGCAGCGCCACCTTTCCCCCAACACTCTCAGCTTCCCATTCCCTAAAACATTTTCTTTCTTAGCTTGGAAAATCCATCTAGCTGGTGACAGTCCGTTTTACTTGGTCAGCCTGAACCACTTGAATAAAACGTAAATATTCTATCAGTGCAGCATCAGCCATCAATTATTTCATTATTCCTCATCAGGCAGGGAGATGGGGAATAGATAAGAAGGCTGACTTGATGATCGCTGCCCATTTCCTTCATGTTGCAGTTAATATCAGAGAAGAGGATGTTGGATGGCCGTTAATGTAGCTCCAGGAACAAAGTGAGGTGATGTTTAACAGGACGTCATTAGGCTAGTGGAGTTAAAGGAAAAACACACTTTCTGTTTGTACAGATTGGAATTCCCTTAATTATTTTCAACTGGAAAATACTGTAAATTAAAAAAAAAAAGTTTCCGTTGAATTTTCAAACATTTTTTTAACAGTCTTAAAGTATAAATAGTTGAAAGAGCTGGTGAAATTAGATTTTTTTCCCCCTTTTTTTTATTAACTTGTGTTTTTGAGTACCCGATGCATTAGTGTCTGTGTTTAAAAAAAGGCTGTGTTACAGCACACGACAGCATTGCATGGCTTCATCGTCGCACTACAAAAAAAAACTGACGAAATCAGAGAGCAAAGGATCCTGCATCACTTTGCCGTTAAAATGGTGACTTTGGAAGCTTCATTGATACTGTATGTTACCTAAAGAGGTGTTCCCCATGTGCAGACAGAAGGAAAAAAAATATTCTTTTCAAAGAGACTTTTTTTTTCTTTACTTTTAGCCTTTTCTTGTATTTGTTTCTGTACCATATCTGTCAATGTTTTTTTTTTTTCTTTTTTGTGCATAAAATGCATAAGGGTTTTGGGGTGTAAATGGAATTTTATTCATATTTTGTCCAAATACCTCTTGTAATTTGTATCAGAATTCTTGTACAATTTTTATATTAAAGATTTATCAGTCACTGGCATTTTGTCATGTTTGCCTTTGTAATGCAACTAAAATGTGTCGCCCAGGATTTTATTTAATCAAACCCTGTGATTTCAAAGCATTTTAATTGCTCCAAGATAAAGATAAAAAAAAGATCCATGGGGAAAAGGCTATCTTGACCAATTAGTGGACGATTAGATTAATAGAGTTATTAAAAGATGTTGGGGCATGAGAAGATGGTGCTGCGGTTAGTAAATTACTACCTGAAGGAGGTGAAATCCCTTTGTCCGATCATAGGGTGGAATTTAATTAAAAGGAGCTGATGTCAGAGTACAAGTTTAAAAGGAAAATGAAAATATTTACAGGATTTGACTTAAAAATCCTAATACTAGACAAAGATAATATATTTTATTTGGGGAAAATCAAACAAAAATACAATCTTTTAAAATCAAATTCAATTTAAAAAATGGATAAATCATAAAGGATCTATGGAAAAGAGCAGGAATGTCATATTTTTAGAGGACCTCAAGACTGTTACAGCTGTAAATGAAGGAGTGACCTTAAGATTAGATTAGATTAGATTAGATTTAACTTTATTGTCATTACACAGGTACAGGTACAAGGCAACAAAATGCAGTTTAGGACTAACCAGAAGTGCAATAGCAGCAAGTGCAGGATAAATAATGGTTCCATAAATACAGGACATGGGTTTCTACTGAATGAGTATAGAAATGAACACCATTATAAATAATGAATATAATATATAGATCACTAGTGTTATGAACTAAATTTACAGCTGGATATGTACCGAATATAATATACAGGTGGATATTATTATAAAAAGGGTTTTTACAGTTATGTACAATAGCAATAGCACTTAAGCTTATTGTTGTTAAATTAGACTCCAAATAAAGTCCAGTCATTTCCTGTTTATCATCAATTGTTCAACTGTTTCTAGTCCAGCACAATACTATTATTCTAATTGCTTAAATCCCTATATATTCTATGTTAGATGCATGCTTTATTAAAATAAACTGCAGTTATTGAATGTTGTCAGTGGAGCCTAGCTTTGAAATGCCTGTCGTTCATTCCTACCCCACCCAGTGCAAATATATGTTTGGAATTAGGTCAGATATTATGAATCAAACCATAACATCATCTTCTGGGCTTTCCCAAATTAAATATCTGGTTTCAGCTGATCATCTTCATTTAACATCAATGCAGGAAAAAAAGCGGCAGTCAGTTTTCTTCCAAGACCCATTGACTGAAAAAGCGAAAGGTGAAAAGGAAAAACATTGGATTTTAAATGTCATGGAAAGGATGCACTTTATTTTTCTTAGGAACATTAAACTTTTATATTTTTCTGGGATATGATAACGGTCAGAAAATTTTTTTTTATTGACTAATAGAGCAATAAAAAGAATAAATAAGAGGGTGACGCCTGGTTTCTTATAAAAACTCATCTTTGGTAACACGAGGATTGGCTGAAATGGGCTACGCACACCTCTAAGACTTTTTATTGGGCCCTATTGATTTGGTTCTACACCAGTGGGGCCTGCAATGCTGGCTAATGCTATTGACGAGCCATCAGTCTTGTCCAGAAGTGTGGAGGCATGCAGCTCCTTTTCCAAGACCAACCAAGGAAGGAGAGAGGATGAGGAGCAAGGAAAGAGAGGGAAAACATCAATGGACAGTGATGGAGAGCAGGGAGGAGGGCAAAGATGCAAGCGCAGCAAACACACTCAGACTCCTGAGTGTGGTTTGGGAACACTAAATTAGAAAGAAGACAAAAGGGGTGAAAGAGGGAGAAACTGTAAACAGCAGCATCGATCCAACTAGAGTTGGGCAAATCAAACCATTACGGCCAGGTTCTTATGCCCCTCGGTTAAGAGAGACGGTGTGAATATCTAAACACTTCCGTGGAAAAGACAAAACTATGCAGAAGCCTGGATCCATTTACGAGCTTCTGGACACATTATTGCATTGCTCTGCTTCACCTGAGAGAGAGAAAGCACAGTCTGGTTAGAAAGGGTTAACTGAAGAGAAAAGGATGAAAAAGCCTTCTGGCAACCTGGGGACAGAGGGA